AATTTAGTTCACAATGTAAGAAGAGACATAACAAAAAGATTAACTTGAAGCAGAGTCATGTGAAGACCGTTGTGCTGTTAAGGTAGATACAGTATCCATTATCTGAGGTCACAAGGGGGAATTCAAGAATCCACTGCCAGCAGCATTAGGGCAACTTTGTGTTACAAATTCAAATTTCTAGGTAGGTAATTCAGGTTTGTTAGAACTTCAAGAGGTGTGCTGCCCCATGCAAAGGTTAGTGATTTCCATAAGCCATCTATACTTATCAAGGCCCCCCACACTGCCCTTCCTGCTAAGCACTGACAATGGGGAATCACATGCTCATCAGGCTCAATGGGATAATATTAAAAAGATAAAGGGATGTAGAACACAGAGAGATGGCCTTGGCAGGAAGAAAGTAAGGGATGTAAGGCCATATTAAGGAAATGGACTAAAGAGAACTGGCTAAGACAAAGAGGTATGGGGATTTGGGCATTAAGGTGGATGTGGCATGGGGGATTGGAGTAGGAACTGCTGAAGATACGCCCGGAACTCAAGAGCTGAAGCTATTAATACTGAAGCTTCCAGAGATATACATAACTTTCCTATGCTCTGGCTATGGTGATGTGGATGGAAGTGAGCACAAGATACGTCATACAAGAACAGGGCAACAGTTGCCTGAAGAGGGGCCTATTAAATGAGCCAATACCATGCTTGGAGCCCTCTGTTTCCCTTGATAGATTCAAATGTTTATCATAAGCTTTCTCTTTTTTCAGGCCCCATGTGTAACTTTTTGGACAAGGTCAACATTGACTATCCCCACTGAACCCAAAAAAACCAAAAAAAAGGAGAGGAGAAAAAGCCTATGTCCTAAATCTTAGTTATCAAACTTGGCTGTTCTTCCTATACCTCTTTGGCACCTAGAAAGGGAACTGAGATCACATGGTCAACTTGCTACTTTAATTCTAAAATAAACCATTTTAATAACAATATCCTGGTGCCATCTCCTAGCCGAAGTAGAATAGAGCAATGAGAAATTAATGATATGCACAAAACTACCTGTTTGAGGTCATGGTCAAACAGATAAGGAAGTGATGATCTCTTTAGGCCATTTTACTCATCACAAAGGATTGAGTGTTGTAAAGATCATTATCATAACTAGTCAAATACGATAGGGAAGACAGGAGGTGAACATCCAACAATAGGAAGTATAAAATTTATACATTATAAGCTCCAAGAAAGTCTCAGAAGTCAGCTAGCAAAGGCTCTTGAGGATAAAACTATCTTTCACTATGTAAGTATAAAACTATCTTTTTGGTTCAAGTTGTATAATTGCAATTAAAGATACTTGATTCTCCATTACGGTGGATGATAGCACACTAAATGTGTATCACACTGCAAATACCCTGCCCAAATTCTATGAAAGGCTCATTGCACATTAGCGCTTCGCAAATGAAAAAAACTATCTCTGCCCAAACGCTATTTGCTCTAGTGGGGTTGGGGGGTGTTACTTTTACAACCAAAGACTTTAAAGAATAATAACCAAATTCAACATTTGCTCTGGTGGGGCCCGTGAGGGTTACTTTACAACCAAGGACTTTAGATTATAATAACAAAATTCATCAATGAGAGACGTTCATAATGATGGACGTTACTTGACGGTTTCTATTTGGGAGCAATTGGCTTTCAACTTACTTAGAGCAATTGTTTCCGACCTAAATTGGGAGAGATGTTGCATATAAAATGGCATTTGCCTCAGTAGAGTGTTAAGCTTTAAGTTTCATTAATGCTCATTTTGTTTAATCCTAATGTCTTGTTACCATCTTCAATTTCTTGCCAGGCCTGCTTCCACTCATCAGGGAGAAAACCAAGTAACAAGAAATACAACACAGAAGAATTATATACAAGCTTAGAGGGAAAAAAGAAATTATAACACATTAGTCAAGATCTCCATTACCCAGCGAGATGAAGTTCATTGCATCGTAGCACAGCATGAGATCATAAGATATGTATACAGAAATTGTCACTCTGCTAATTTCCCTAAAGACTTAAAATGGCTAAGATGGTGCAAGGTGACTAATCAAATGAAATGCTCCAATGCGTGAATTTGTTAATCTGAGATGATCAAAGGAGTTCCATTGTTTGTTTCAACTGGATATAACTGTAAGGAAAATTGTTTCTTGCGGGCTGGACCGCATTTCTACATATGCGGTCCAGAAAGTGTAAAGCATACATCTTAAAGATGGATGCAAGTAGGCGTTCCATCTGAAAACAATGGAAACTAACGGTCCAATGTTTTCTTGCAAGAATTACTATTTTTAGTTTTAAAAATTTATTTATTTATTCATATTCATGTTAGAGATTACATGTCCTTAAAAATTGTCTTAAAATCTACCTCAAAATTAGATTTATTAAGAGGCCCGTATTTCTACATATGCGGGCTTGGCCGCATAGAAACCGGATCCTAACTGTAACGCTCCAGTGTGAATATTTGTTTTGACAATAGTCACATACAAAACATGTATGTAGTGCTCCAATGGATATATTTTGAAGCCAAGGCTTCCCATTATCATTCTTCACATTGATATAATGGCCAATTCTTGAGTAGTACATAGCCATCTTTTTTATATTTGTCTCTCAATTGAGATTCTTCTGATGGTCAGAGGAGACTTCAATACATGTATGATTCAGAAGGAAGTAATCGGGTATTGATTATTTGATTAGTTGGAAGAATACCACAGAAGAGAAAAAATTTCCCGTGGTCCATTATTTGGCAGTATCCTTAGTTCCAAGAAATAACAAAAACTCTGAAGTACTTCTCTTTGAATTTTTTGTTTTGTTTTTTTTTTTTAAAAATGTTAACTTTCTCTTTGAATTTTTTCCTTTTAGTGATGTGTTGAACTCTAAGGTGGAATCATATAAGACTCCTTTTATTTTATTTTTAGTCGTATAACATATATATAGACTTTTGTGCATAAATATTTTGCAAGAAACTTATTTTTTGAAATTTTTTTGGATCACCAATTCTTAGTGATCCAAACCCAATCCAGTTGTAGATCCATCGATCTAACATGGATCTGTGGGTAATCAATCCACCCCACCAATCTGGGGTTTGAAACACTAATTTATACAAAGTTTTAAGGGAAAGCTTTCTATGTTCCCCCTACAACATAGAAGTTCTATCCTACCCTTTATCCAACAGTCCATTTTTTAATGGAGGGTTAAGATTGCCCCAATCACTATGTCACGTCTCTACACTATGTTATTTTTAATTTTTTTTTCTATAAACTATCTTGACACCAAATTTTGGACATCCATTCCTCTATTAAACTCGCACTAACGAAAAAATATAAAAAAAAAAATTTTTCTAATAAAATAAAAT